TCACACAGACACACACATGTAATGCGGCGGTACAAATGACCCCCCCAAAGGAAAAAGGCCAAAAAAAACACAGCACGATGTAGGACAGTTGTGGGGTGGGTTGTAGTATGCGGACCGGGTGGCACCATGCGGGCTGATGTGTAGGTGGCTGATGCAACGTGAGGGTGGTGATGCAAACCAACTCCCCGCCCCCCCTGAAAAAAAACACGAAAAAAAAGAAAAGTCCACCGGATGTGGCTGAACAGTACACCCATCGTCGTGCGAATATGGGGCTCTGTCCACTACTCTCTACATGCAGAAAAGACAAAAACTGTGGCTATGTATCCTTCCATGCTGTAGCGAAATATTCACTCTCGTTTTGCACACATGTCGAGAGTAGTGGAGAGGCCCTATTATGCCCTAAGGGGTTGATGTATCCGACCGCAATTCCATCCACAATTCCATCCATTCCAGGAAAAAAGCAAAAGTGAGTAAGCCCTAAGAAAAGGACACCGAACAGAGCTGCTATGTAGGGAACGAAGTGAAAAAGTCCTTGGGAGAATCGGATTCCCTAAAAACAAAACACCAACAAAAAAAGACCGGATTGCAGCTCTGAAGACGCCCGCTATGAACTTGTTATCAAACGTTCGAGCTACTCCCGCCGGGCCAGCTATATACTTGTATCCGAGATTGCTGCAGCGACAACTCCCGGCGGGCCAGCTAGACTTGTATCCGAGATTAGGCTGGGTTTGAACACGCGACACAGGATTGACCTGAAACTACGAAGCGCCGCTAAACGACAAAACCGCCAGAAGATACTGAATGAAACCACAGGACATAACTACAGACGATTTCCCTCCAAACAATGCGGCTCATGCGGTTCTGCACGTCGATTCGAACCTCTTACCTGTCACCAAATAGGCTCGGCCCATGCCGAGCTTTTGCAGACGGGAACCGCGGGCCTGTGGGAAATTTTCTGCTGGGCTCACGGGAGGCGTCTTCCGGCCCCCGCTTATGCTTTAAAGTATTTTTCTGCTGGGCCCATTGGAGGCGTCTTCCGAGACCCGGCTTATGCCTTAAAGTATTAGTAGATAGATAGATACATAGATAGATAGATAGATAGATAGATAGATAGATAGATAGATAGATAGATAGATAGATAGATAGATAGATAAATGTTTAATGTAATAAGTTAATAACCTGCAAAACTGCAGACTGTGAAACCTGCGCTTTTCTGAGCTTTTGCCACTGTTCTGAGTGGTTGCTGGATTCCCGCTGTCTGAGTGTGTGTGACGGGTCCGAGTGCTTGCCGATCTCTGTGTCCTGAGCGCTTACCCGCCTGTCTGAGAGCCGGTGTGCGTGTGTCTGATCCGCTGATGATGGTCTGAGTGCGAGAATGGCCCTCCAGCCCGGGCCCGGTACTAGCCTGTGGCCGTGTGTGTTCTGAGGTGCCGCGGGTAGAGTAGTGGAAATGAGACCCCGAGAGGCCAAAAATCAAGTAGCAGCGGGTAGGTTGCAGAAAAAGACAAAAAGGTAGTAGCTTTGAGAAGACCAAGTTAGTATTTTAGAGATCCGGTAGGCTTAGGGGTAGGTACCAGTCCGGTAGGCCTGAGTCCAGAGCCTGCGAAGGGAAATATCAGGCTGCGGAGATGCTCCCGCCAAAAGTAAAGGGAGCCGGTAGGTCCTGGAGGCAGCCGCTGCTTGGAAGTCACCGGGTGAAGAGGCAGGAGCCTGGTATATGAGGAGAGGCAGCGAAGAGCTCAGTCTCATTCTCTGCATGCATTTGCCGGCACGCTGCTGGAGCGCTCACCCAGCAAGTGTAGGACTGGGTGGAGGAAGAAGATGGAGCTTGACTCCCACCTCGGCTATGGTGGAGGGAGACATGGCTATGGTGAAGAAGTGATGAAGAAGGAAGGAGGAAGAAGGAAGGAGGAAGAAGGAAGGAGGAGGAGGAAAGTGGGGGAGGAAGCTTGCCTTGGCTATGTGAGGACAGCATCTTCATCTCCTTGGTTGACGTAGCACATGGAACGCCCCTGGATGGGGTTGCAGAGTCAAGAAGACTCCGGAGAAGTAATGTAGGCTTGGTTATGGTAGAGGCAGGGTCAAGAAAGATTTGCGTTGTCCTCTGATCATCCGAGCTAGGCCTGGATGCCGCCGCCATAGCTGGATGCTCACCCAAGTAGAGTTAGGAGGTTTAAATACTCCAAGGTGACCTCTTGTGATGCCAACAGTAAGGAGTAGGCTCGGACATTGATTCTGGTTCGTTGAACTTCATTCATTCACTAGTATAGTTGATTCCTGGGTAGCACGGCGTACGTGTACGCGGGTTGCGCGTACACGCGTACACATATTCCTGTACGCGACACGTACGCGCGTACACGTACTCCCGTACGTGGGAATACGTTAAAAAAAAAAAAAAAAAAAAAAGTCATCGAAAAAATCTGGAAAAAACGTATGTTATGCAAAATGATATTTCAAACAACCTTTGCCAGAGACTCATCTCGAAATTCTGTACCAAACTCGGAGTTAAAAATCAAAGGCACAAACAACAAATAAATTGAAATAATTAAAAAAAAAACTAGGAAAAAAATATATGTTAAACACACAAAAATAAAAACAAACTTCTATAACAAATATATGTTATGCAGAAATGAAACGGTATTCACCAATTCGTGGTAGCTGAGGTAGATCCCAGGGCTCGATCCCTAGTTCCCCAACTTACCTGTGTACAATACCTGCGTCAACTCGAAGAGTTGAACCTGCGACCTGTAGAACCGCCAGTGGTAGGTCGGTCTGTCGTAGGTCTATAGGTAG